CATTGCATAATACAATGCATTATACAATACATAATATAACACTGCACAATACAATACATAATATGATACGTAATACAATACATAATATAATATATAATACAATACATAATATACATAACACTAAGTAATACAGTACATAATATACAGTACATAACACATTACATTTACGTCATTTAGCAGACGCTCTTATCCAGAGCGACTTACAGTTAGTGAATACATCTTTTTTTTATACTGGCCCCCCGTGGGAATCAAACCCACAACCCTGGCGTTGCAAACGCCATGCTCTATCAACTGAGCTACATCCCTGCCGGCCATTCCCTCCCCTACCCTGGACGACCCATTCCCTCCCCTACCCTGGACGACGCTTGGCCAATTGTGCGCCGCCCATGAGTCTCACGGTCGAGGCCGGCTGCGACAGAGCCTGGATTCGAACCAGGATCTCTAGTGGCACAGTTAGCACTGCGATGCAGTGCCTTAGACCACTGCGCCACTCAGGAGACACATGTAATGCAATACATAATATACATAACACTGCAATATACAATACATATTGCAATACACAATACAATACATAATACAATATAATAATACAATACATAACACTACATAATACAATACATAATATACATAATACAATACATTATACACTACATAATACTCTACAAAATACAATAGATGTACATAACACTGCATAATGCAATAAATAATACAATACATCATATATAGAATACTACATAATACAATACATAATTCACTACATAATACAATACACAACACTACGTAGTACACTACATAACACTATATAAAACAATACATAATAAATACATAATATACACTACATAACACTATATAAAACAATACATAATAAATACATAATATACATTACATAACACTTCATAAAACAATACATAATATACATTACATTACATAAGACAATACATAATACACTATATAATACAACACATAATATACATAACACTACATAATACAATGCATAATATACATAACACTACACATAATACACTACATAATACAACATATAATATACATAACACTACATAATACAATACATAATACGATACATAATATACATAAAACTACTTAATACACTAAATAATATAATATATAATACAATAAATAATTTACATATACAATACATAATATACAGTACATAACACTACACATAATACCATACATAATAAACAACATAATACAATACATAATAAATACATAATATTCAAAACACTACATAATACAATACATAATATACAAAATACAATACAAAATACAATACATCATATACATAACACTGCATAATACAATATTTAATATACATAACAATACATAATACATTACATAATATACATAACACTACATAATACAATACATAATATACAAAATACAATACATTATATACTACATAATACAATACATCATATACATAACACTGCATAATTCTATACATTTTACAATACATAATACAATACATAATATACATAACATTACATAATATAATATATAATACAATATATAATATACATATACAATACATAATATACAGTACATAATACTACATATAATACAATACATAGACTACATAATACAGTACATAATACAATACATAATATACAAAATACAATACATTATATACTACATAATACAATACATCATATACATAACACTGCATAATTCTATACATTTTACAATACATAATACAATACATAATATACATAACATTACATAATATAATATATAATACAATATATAATATACATATACAATACATAATATACAGTACATAATACTACATATAATACAATACATAGACTACATAATACACTACAAAATAAAATACATCATATACATTACACTGCATAATACAATATATAATACAAAACATAAACAATACATAATATACATAACACTGCATAACACTATATAATCTAATACATAATCCAATACAGAATATACTGTACATAACACTACATAATACAATTTATAATATACATAACATTACATAATACAATACATAATACAGCACGTAATATACATGACACTACATAATACAATACATAATACACTACATAATATACATAACACTACATAATATACTACATAATACAATACATAATACACTACATAATACACTACATAATACACAATATAATATACATAACACTGCATAATACAGTACATAATATACATATACAATACATAATATACAGTACATAAAACTACTAATAATAAAATATATAATATACTACATAATACAATACATAATATAATACATAATATACATAACACTGCATAATACAATATATAATATACATAACACTACATAATACAATACATAATATACATATTATACATAACACTACATAGTACAATACATAATACACTACATAATACAATATGTCATTTACATAACACTGCATAATACAGTAAATAATATAATACATAATATACAAAACACTACAAAACACTATATAATACAATACATAATACAATACTTAAACTACATAATACAATACATAATAAAATACATAATATTCAAAACACTACATAATACAATACATAATATACAAAATACAATACATTATATACTACATAATACATTACAAAATACAATATATAATACAAAACATAAACAATACATAATATACATAACACTACATAATACAATACATAATACAGCACGTAATATACATGACACTACATAATACAATACATAATACACTACATAATATTCATAACACTACATAATACACTACATAATACACTACATAATACACAATATAATATACATAATACAATACATAATATACATAACACTGCATAATACAGTACATAATATACATATACAATACATAATATACAGTACATAATACAATACATAATATAATACATAATATACATAACATGACATAATACAATACATAATACACTACATCATACACTACATAATACAATATGTCATTTACATAACACTGCATAATACAGTAATTAATACAATACATAATATACAAACACTACATAGCACTATGTAATACAATACATAATACAATACTTAATATACAGTACATAACACTACATAATACAATAGTAATATACATAACAATACATAATACACTACATAATACAACACTTAATGTACATAACACTACATAATACAATACATAATACACTACATAGTATACATAACACTGCATAATACAATACATAATACAATACATAATATACCTAACACTGCATAATAAAATAAATACAATAGATAATATACATACACAATACATAATATACAGTACCTAACACTACATATAATACAATACATAATAGTTTACATAATACAATACATAATATGAATAACACTGCATAATACAATACATAATACAATAGATAATATACATAAAACTACATAGTATAAACAATACATAATATACATGCACTGCATAATACAATACATAATATACATTACACTACATAATACACTGCTTAATACAATACATAATACAATACATAATATACATAACACTGCATAATAAAATACATTATAGAATACATAATACAATACATAATATACATAACACTACGTAATACACTACATAATACAATACATAATATACATAACACTGTGTTAATACAATACATAATACACAACACGGCATAATACAATACATAATACAATACATAATTCATTACATAATATACATAACACTACGTAAAACACTACATAATAAACTACATAATATACATAACACTTCCTAATACAATACATAACATACATAACACTACATAATACAATACATAATATACATAATACAATACATAATACAGTACATAATACACTACATAATGCAATACATAATATACATAACAATACATAATACATTACATCATATACATTACATAACACTATACAATACATAATATACATAACAATACATAATTCAATACATAATACCATTCAAAATACAATACAAAATATATCAAAATGTGTGTCTCTTCACAGTCCCCGTTGTGCTGTAATGTGTTCTTTTATCCGTTTTTTAAAATCAGTTTTTATTACTAGCTTGAGTTACCTGGGGTGGCAGAGCGTTCCATGTAGTCATGGCTCTATTTAATATTGTGTGTTTCCCAGCCTCTGCTCTGGACTTGGGGACTGTGAAGAGACCTCTGGTTGCACGTGTGATACCGATGAGTGTCCAAACTCTGTGCCAACTGCTTGAGAGATTGACATGCATGTCATTGACATTCGTGTACGTCTAAGTGCAATATGTGCTGCTCTGTTCTGGACCAACTACAATTTGTCCTTCTTTGCAGCACATGACCACACAACTGGACAGTAGTCCAGGTGCGTCTAAACTAGGGCCGGTAGGACCTGTCTGGTTGATTGAGATGTCAAGAAAGCAGAGCAACACCTTATCATAGACAGACCTCTTCCCATTTTAGTAACCATTGAGTCTATATGTTTTGACCATGATAGTTTGTAGTTTAGTCTCTTCAACTTGCTCAATAGCCACATTATTCAATAATAGATCCAGATGAAGTTTAGGGTTGAGCGAAGCTTTTAGTTTTGGAGATAAATAGCACCAACCTATTGCTAGTTACCCATTCTAGTTTGATAGGTAATCTCACTCCATCAAATTACATATTTCGTTGGTACAGCTGGCTAAGGTGTTGTCAAGAGGGCGGTCATGTTTGTTTGCGAGACAGAGGATGCAAGGATTTGTGAACAAGAAATATATATTTTTAAGCAAGCTAAGTGTTGCTGTCACACTTTTTTTCCAGCCCAGCATGAACACACCTATTTTAAATAGTCAACTAACCATCAAGACAATCAGATTTCAGGAGACAGGCTAATACGACAGGCTAAGTACTAATAAATGGGTTTCAAATTGGCACAATCCCTCCTCAACTCCCCACTGTGGGACATTTAAGATAATCGTTAAGCTTCTGTCCTCTGAGTGATTTTGTGTTGACATTTGCTCCCTCTATTACAGATGACGAACCCTGCCATCCAGAATGATTTCAGCTACTACAGGAGAACACTCAACCGCATGCGCATCAACAATGTTGCCGTAAGTGCACCCCTTTTGGTGCCCCTTTTATTTTCCTAAAAGTTATATAAAGGTACCAGTTTTTTGCAGGTATTGGTTTCTGTTTGAAAGCTGTAATCTGTATACATTTAAGTCATTTAGCATCAGTTGCAGCCTTCATCCGCCTTTCCAGCCATATACAGTTGAAGTCGGAAGTTTACATACACTTAGGTTGGCGTCATTAAAACTTGTTTTTCAACCAATCCACACATTTCTTGTTAACAAACTATAGTTTTGGCAAGTCGGTTAGGACATCTACTTTGTGCATGACACAAGTCATTTGTCCAACAATTGTTTACAGACAGATTATTTCACTTATAATTCACTGTATCACAATTCCAGTGGGTCAGAAGTTTACATACACTAAGTTGACTGTGCCTTTAAACAGCTTGGAAAATTCCAGAAAATTACAGTGGGGAAAAAAAGTATTTAGTCAGCCACTAATTGTGCAAGTTCTCCCACTTAAAAAGATGAGAGAGGCCTGTAATTTTCATCATAGGTACACGTCAACTATGACAGACAAAATGAGATTTTTTTTCTCCAGAAAATCACATTGTAGGATTTTTTATGAATTTATTTGCATATTATGGTGGAAAATAAGTATTTGGTCAATAACAAAAGTTTCTCAATACTTTGTTATATACCCTTTGTTGGCAATGACACAGGTCAAACGTTTTCTGTAAGTCTTCACAAGGTTTTCACACACTGTTGCTGGTATTTTGGCCCATTCCTCCATGCATATCTCTTCTAGAGCATTGATGTTTTGGGGCTGTCGCTGGGCAACACGGACTTTCAACTCCCTCCAAAGATTTTCTATGGGGTTGAGATCTGGAGACTGGCTAGGCCACTCCAGGACCTTGAAATGCTTCTTACGAAGCCACTCCTTCGTTGCCTGGCGGTGTGTTTGGGATCATTGTCATGCTGAAAGACCCAGCCACGTTTCATCTTCAATGCCCTTGCTGATGGAAGGAGGTTTTCACTCAAAATCTCACGATACATGGCCCCATTCATTCTTTCCTTTACACGGATCAGTCGTCCTGGTCCCTTTGCAGAAAAACAGCCCCAAAGCATGATGTTTCCACCCCCATGCTTCACAGTAGGTATGGTGTTCTTTGGATGCAACTCAGCATTCTTTGTCCTCCAAACACGACGAGTTGAGTTTTTACCAAAAAGTTCTATTTTGGTTTCATCTGACCATATGACATTCTCCCAATCCTCTTCTGGATCATCCAAATGCACTCTAGCAAACTTCAGACGGGCCTGGACATGTACTGGCTTAAGCAGGGGGACACGTCTGGCACTGCAGGATTTGAGTCCCTGGCGGCGTAGTGTGTTACTGATGGTAGGCTTTGTTACTTTGTTCCCAGCTCTCTGCAGGCCATTCACTAGGTCCCCCCGTGTGGTTCTGGGATTTTTGCTCAACATTCTTGTGATGATTTTGACCCCACAGGGTGAGATCTTGCGTGGAGCCCCAGATCGAGGGAGATTATCAGTGGTCTTGTATGTCTTCCATTTCCTAATAATTGCTCCCACAGTTGATTTCTTCAAACCAAGCTGCTTACCTATTGCAGATTCAGTCTTCCCAGCCTGGTGCAGGTCTACAATTTTGTTTCTGGTGTCCTTTGACAGCTCTTTGGTCTTGGCCATAGTGGAGTTTGGAGTGTGACTGTTTGAGGTTGTGGACAGGTGTCTTTTATACTGATAACAAGTTCAAACAGGTGCCATTAATACAGGTAACGAGTGGAGGACAGAGGAGCCTCTTAAAGAAGAAGTTACAGGTCTGTGAGAGCCAGAAATCTTGCTTGTTTGTAGGTGACCAAATACTTATTTTCCACCATAATTTGCAAATAAATTCATAAAAAATCCTACAATGTGATTTTCTGGAGAAAAAAAATCTCAATTTGTCTGTCATAGTTGACGTGTACCTATGATGAAAATTACAGGCCTCTCTCATCTTTTTAAGTGGGAGAACTTGCACAATTGGTGGCTGACTAAATACTTTTTTCCCCCACTGTATGTAATGGCTTTAGAAGCTTCTGATAGGCTAATTGACATCATTTGAGTCAATTGGAGGTGTACCTGTGAATGTATTTCAAGGCCTACCTTCAAACTCAGTGCCTCTTTGCTTGACAACATGGGAAAATCAAGGACCTTGTGAAGATGTTGGATGTAAACTTCCGACTTCAACTGTATATACACACACACACACACACACAGTTAAAAATACCCACAGTAAATTGATTCTAACAGTAGTACATTAGTCACCTCACCCTCCCATTGATCAAAGGGGAAACACCATTATTCCCCAGCCACGGCGTCGATGAGACAGGGGGATCATTGACCTTGCGTCTCCAATTAAGAGACCCGGTGGCTGGGGAATAATTACTTGCGCTCTTCTGCCTCATTAGACATAGGCCCTCATGTAAAACGCCACGTAGAATGCATGCAGAACAGCACAGCAAATAGTGTGCTGACTGTGTAATGTCCTATTACGGTTTAGATAGAATGAATTGTCCACTCTTAATATATTGCAATATATTTTGCATACCAATTTGAAATTATAAACTAAATTAAAAATATGTAAAAAATAAATAAAGTGCAATATTTAAGGATATAGCCATGGGCTATATTATATTAACACTTTTAAAAGTACTTTTAAGGAATGATAACAACATAACATCCTAACAGCACTAATCCTATTGTATACTTCTATCAATTCTATTTTTGTTGAAAGACACCAAGGCCAGGATTCAATCAGATCAGCTGTAACCCACGTTAGCCGACAAACACAAAGCTTTTCATTGCTTTTGTTTAGGCGGTGTCTGAGGTGTAACTACATTAGAACTGTCAAGTCCACAAGCGGCTCCTTGCGTTACTTATCACAGACATTGCCATTGGAGTCGCATTAGTAGAAACCCATGCAGCCACATTACAAGTTTGAACACTGAAATGCGTGATGTACTCTACACCTCCATTAGGCTGATAGAAATCCCCATTATTTTGTTTCATGATTTTACATTTGAGTGTCATTATTTCTAGATAGCCTGACTTTCTTGTTTAGAACTTCTAACTCTGGTGGGATATAAGGACAGTGTGGTTTTGTGACAATGACCATAAGAGCAGCCAGCTGGTCACCGATTTGACAGCTTTAACGCAGTTACATCTCAGACACCGCCTAAACAAAATCCATGAAAAGCTACGTGTTTGTCTGCTAACACGGGTTACCGCTGATCTGATTTGAATCCTGGCCCAACTCTTTTGCTTTCAGGCAGAGGAGGAGAACGAAGTCAACAATGAGCTGGCCAACCGGATGTCTCTGTTCTACGCCAACGCCACGCCCATGCTGAAAACGCTAAGCGACGCTACAACAAAGTTTGTCTCAGACGTAAGTGAAAAAGCACAACATTGATTAAGAATAATAGCTCCTATTTCATCATGTGAAAGTCCTGGATAGGCAAATCCACTGAACAACTTGATGATACTTTACTTGAATTGTAATTTGCCAAATGTCATATGTCATGGAACAGGGCAGAATCTGTCTCTGATACAGATAAAGAGTGAGCTACAGTATCAGTTTATTTGACAGTGACCATGTAAAACAGACATTGCAAAATATGTAAGCTACATAGTTTATTCTCATCTGCTATCTTATCGTACAGCAGTTTTTATTTAAACAGTATCGCACAGTAAAAAAAAAACACACAGTTTAGTGTTGTTTTGCTTTAGGAAAACATCAATCAAAATGGTAACAAAAGCTGTGTCAATAAGATGGTATTTTCTGTTGATTTGACCAGAACACAGATCTACCCATTGAAAACACAACGGACTGCTTGTGCACGATGGCCAGCGTGTGCAAAGTCATGCTGGAAACACCGTGAGACAGACCTCTTTTCTAATTCAATCCAATTTTATTTTCCCCTCTGTGACAATTCAGAAAGTCATTGCCAGATCACAAACTATTCATTACTGTACTTTCTACCATTACGTCTGTCTACTTGGTTGCATCTGCTTTGAGGTTTAATTTCTTTGAATACTAAACATTATCTAAAAATGCTGTTTGTTTTTTGGTTTGTCTGTGTGTGTGGGGGGGTGTGCATGTGACTGCATGTGTACGCTTGTGTGTCTACACACGTGTCTTTGCGCACGCGTGTTTGTGTGTGTGTGCGTCCACAGGGAATACCGTAGCCGTTTTGCCAGCGAGGATACCGTGTCCTTCTGTTTGCGTGTGATGGTGGGAGTGATCATTCTTTATGACTATGTTCACCCTGCTGGAGCCTTTGTCAAGTCCTCCAAGATCGAGGTGCGTTTACAGAGTTCTTATGACGTTTATTGGGGCCATATGTATCAAGCGTCTCAGAGTAGGAGGGCTGATCTAGGTTCAGGTCTCCCCTATCTATGTAATCGGATTCATTGTGATCTAAAAGGCCAAACTGATCCTACATCAGGACTCCTACTCTAAGATGCTTAACACATACAGCCCCAGATGTTGTCATACCTCAAACGTGACTTCATATATCCCTGTTGTATCACCAGGGAGGGGAAACATTGTTGTTCTAGTCCAACAACACACCTAGTTTAATGAACAAATGAAATAATCCAATAACAACCAGCCCATGGTTAGTTGAATCAGGTGTGTTACTGCTGGGCTAAAACAAAAATGTGCACCTCCTAGGGATCCCCCAGGAATACATTCAGGGACACTGACATATGTAACCATAAATGTGTAACTGACTTTGTTTTGATATAGATGAAAGGGTGCATCAAAGTCTTAAAGGATCAGCCTCAAAGCAGTGTGGAAGGCCTGCTAAACGCTCTCAGGTAAGTGGCTTCTCTTTCCTATACATGCTGTGGTTATCTGCCAACTTGAATGTATAATAGCGTGTTAATATATATGTGTATTTACATGCTAATTACATGTTCAATTACCTTTCAATGACAGGGGTCACAACTTCAGTCCTAAAGGGCAACACCTTAAAGGGCCACACTAACACACCTTACTCATGTAATCAACCAATTTATGGGTCTTCAAAGTTGACAATGATTAAATGAATCAGATGTGTAAGAGTTTGGCATTGCAGCCACCCATGACTGAAGTTGTCCACCCATGTTGTATTACATTGTTTGTATTTGTATTTATTAAGGATCCCCATTAGTTCCTGCTAAGGCAGCAGCTATAAAATATTACATGACATTACATTTCATAACACTTTTCACAGCACATTAAGTGTGTGCCCTCAGGCCACTACTATACTAGCATGTTGTTGATTTGTCCTTGAACACTGTTTTGCCAGAAGTGATTATATTTTACACCGACTAAGCCACTCTGTTCAGTCCCCTGCCCTCCATATGTTTTTGTATGTTGTATGATGTCTATGTTTATGTCCTGTAAGGAGTTTATTTATGAGGCACATTTCTGTTAAAGCAGACTATAAAATGCTTTCTTATCTATGTTATCTTACCCTAGAGTCTAGACCTTTCCATCAGTACATGGAATTACTCAACAATTCTTCAGAGCAAATATGTGGATGTTAAGATGGTTTGAACCATTTAGCTGCAATTGACTGTTAATATTGTTTTTCAGTAATACTAGGGTAGTTTTGGATGGATGTTCAGACTGTACTCTCTTTCTTCACATTCAGGTACACAACAAAACATCTGAATGACGAGACTACCTCCAAGCAAATCAAAAATATGTTGCAAGTTAATTGAGCAAATGTTTAAATAGCATCCAGCGCTCGCTAGTTTCTGGAATAAGGATGATCTTATATTTCTAGTGAGAGTTAAGGCACCATGTTTGGTACTCTTGTAAATAAATCATTACTGTAACAAGAAAGGCCATATTAAGTGGCAGCTACTGACTTAGTGTCTCATCAGCTGGATGTTTGGACATTTCTGGATTAGTAAGGAAAGTCATTTCACTGGAACATTTTGACTGAAACAAAATAATTTGTAATAATTTCACAGTATGAGGTACTTTATTGAAGAAGATACTGCTCAAGGGACCTCATTTTATATGATGGCAGCATAAATCTAGTGTTAGATTTTTTACAGTTAGTATTTGTATAATATAATGTCAAGTTATTTTTTAATAATGACAATTCATGTGAGAGGGAAAATAAAGCTTTTGGGATTTTTCTAAAGCTTTTCTCTGATAATTCATTTGTTAATAGATTTACGGGTTCCGAGAATTTGTCACCATTACTGACTCTTATCTCACTATTTAAGTACAAACTATTTCCCTTATGAATACCCCACCCTAGAACCTCCTCCACCCTTCTAAATTCCCCCTCCTGCTTTGGATGTTGAGAAAAATGAACAGTTTGGGAAACACTTTCTCGGAAACGCAGTCCTGGGCCATTTAGTAGTTCCTATGAAATTATGTAGAATTAATGGATAATTTGGTAACCCTTTATTTTACAGCCTGGCATTGACACAACCATCACTATGTACTATTTGGTAATTACCAACTGACCCTTCGCTAAGCCCTGTCCCACTTGGTTACTGTTGCAACCTTGTACAGTTTCCCGGAAAGCCCAATTCCCCATTAAAACTAATTCCCCATTCAATTCATTCAAACCATCCCCTCACAATGATCTCAAATTGTGTTTTTAATACACAATGAAATTCAACATAGACTACCACTTGCTAATAAGGAAACTCTTGGGTATGTTGTGGTGGACTGTCATTATAATTGCTTCACGGGAACCTGGTAAAATTATGTTTATAGTGTGGCTAGCCACTGAATTCATTGTAAGCACATTTGGAGCTAACTTGTGCTCTCAAATCATACCCTGATGTTGACAGCAGATGGGAGTTAAATTTATGTTTTATTTAACCTATATTTTGACATGGAGTCATGCTGAGACCAAGGTCTCTTTTACAGATGAACCCTGTATCAAACATAGACATCAATACACATCAATATACACTATACACATCAATGTATACATCAATATACACTATACACATCAATACACATCAATATACACTATATTTACATTACATTACATTTACGTCATTTAGCAGACGCTCTTATCCATCAATATACACATAATACACATCAATATACACTATACACATCAATACACATCAATATACAATATACACACTAATGTACACATCAATACATGAAAAGGGAAACACAATCATATAAAACGAACACATTCTTCAGTAAAAAGGTCCTCTATCAGCCATCTAAATTGCCCTAGAGGCACCAACTCTTCCAGTATTTGGAGATTATTCCACAAGTAAGGTGCAAAAACTAAAAGCAGATCTACCTAACTCAGTGGAGACTGAAGGGATCTCCTGAGTTAGCCATCCCTGAGACTGAGTCTGGTAGCTCGTACGTCTGTAGGTTTGTCAAGGAAGTAAGGTACGGCGGAAGTTTATGCAGGAGGGCTTTATAAACAAAAATAGTGCAATGTATCGATCTATGAGACTTCAAAGAGGGCCAGCTTACTTTCTGATACAGAAAGCAGTAATGTGTACTGAACCTGTCGCCTGTAAATAAAGCGCAGTGCGCTATGATTAACTGTGTCCAATGGTTTCAATACAGTGGTAGCCGCATTCATATAGACGATATCACCATAATCTATAACCGGTATGAATGTCAACTAAATGTTTTGTTTTCTGCTATTTAATGAAAGGCATGCCCTATTCCTATAAAGGAACCAGCCCATCTACAGTGGGGAAAAAAGTAATTAGTCAGCCACCAATTGTGCAAGTTCTCCCACTTAAAAAGATGAGAGAGGCCTGTAATTTTCATCATAGGTACAGGTCAACTATGACAAACAAAGAGAAAAAAAAATCCATAAAATCACATTGTAGGATTTTTAATGAATTTATTTGCAAATTATGGTGGAAAATAAGTATTTGGTCACCTACAAACAAGCAAGATTTCTGGCTCTCACAGACCTGTAACTTCTTCTTTAAGAGGCTCCTCTGTCCTCCACTCGTTACCTGTATTAATGGCACCTGTTTGAACTTGTTATCAGTATAAAAGACACCTGTCCACAACCTCAAACAGTCACACTCCAAACTCCACTATGGCCAAGACCAAAGAGCTGTCAAAGGACACCAGAAACAAAATTGTAGACCTGCACCAGGCTGGGAAGACTGAATCTGCAATAGGTAAGCAGCTTGGTTTGAAGAAATCAACTGTGGGAGCAATTATTAGGAAATGGAAGACATACAAGACCACTGATAATCTCCCTCGATCTGGGGCTCCACGCAAGATCTCACCCCGTGGTGTCAAAATGATCACAAGAACGGTGAGCAAAAATCCCAGAACCACACGGGGGGACCTAGTGAATGACCTGCAGAGAGCTGGGACCAAAGTAACAAAGCCTACCATCAGTAACACACTATGCCGCCAGGGACTCAAATCCTGCAGTGCCAGACGTGTCCCCCTGCTTAAGCCAGTACATGTCCAGGCCCGTCTGAAGTTTGCTAGAGTGCATTTGGATGATCCAGAAGAGGATTGGGAGAATGTCATATGGTCAGATGAAACCAAAATAGAACTTTTTGGTAAAAACTCAACTCGTTGTGTTTGGAGGACAAAGAATGCTGAGTTGCATCCAAAGAACATCATACCTACTGTGAAGCATGGGGGTGAAAACATCATGCTTTGGGGCTGTTTTTCTGCAAAGGGACCAGGACGACTGATCCGTGTAAAGGAAAGAATGAATGGGGCCATGTATCGTGAGATTTTGAGTGAAAACCTCCTTCCATCAGCAAGGGCATTGAAGATGAAACGTGGCTGGGTCTTTCAGCATGACAATGATCCCAAACACACCGCCCGGGCAACGAAGGAGTGGCTTCGTAAGAAGCATTTCAAGGTCCTGGAGTGGCCTAGCCAGTCTCCAGATCTCAACCCCATAGAAAATCTTTGGAGGGAGTTGAAAGTCCGTGTTGCCCAGCGACAGCCCCAAAACATCACTGCTCTAGAGGAGATCTGCATGGAGGAATGGGCCAAAATACCAGCAACAGTGTGTGAAAACCTTGTGAAGACTTTTGACCTGTGTAATTGCCAACAAAGGGTATATAACAAAGTATTGAGAAACTTTTGTTATTGACCAAATACTTATTTTCCACCATCATTTGCAAATAAATTCATTAAAAATCCTACAATGTGATTTTCTGGAGAAAAAAAATCATATTTTGTCTGTCATAGTTGACGTGTACCTATGATGAAAATTACAAGCCTCTCTCATCTTCTTAAGTGGGAGAACTTGCACAATTGGTGGCTGACTAAATACTTTTTTCCCCACTGTAAATTCTTAACTTCTTAACTAACTCATCAATATGCTTTTTGAAAGATAGCTTTTTATAAATCCAGATACCCAAACATGATCAATGTGGGCACCATCCAATGTACAAATGCATAAATCATCAGATACATTTTTTTACCTTTGGAAAATAACACATACTTAGTTTTACCTGCATTAAGTACCAATTTCAGTTCAACAATGGCTTTCTGCAAAGCAAAAAACACAGAGAGAGTCAATAGATGGGGCAATTGCATACACAACAGTGTTATCAGCATACAGGTGTACAGTTGAAGTCGGAAGTTTACATACACTTAGGTTGGAGTCATTAAAACTAGTTTTTCAACCACTCCACAAATGTATTGTTAACATACTATAGTTTTGCCAAGTTTTGACAAAATAGATGTCATGAGGAAGGAAAATTATGTGGATATATTGAAGCAACATTTCAAGACATCAGTCAGGAAGTTAAAGCTTGCTCGCAAATTGGTCTTCGAAATGGACAATGACCCCAAGCATACTTCCAAAGTTGTGGCAAAATGGCTTAAGGACAACAAAGTCAAGGTATTGGAGTGGCCATCACAAAGCCCTGACCTCAATCCTATAGAAAATGTGTGGGCAGAACTGAAAAAGCGTGTGCGAGCAAGGAGGCCTACAAACCTGACTCAGTTACACCAGCCCTGTCAGGAGGAATGGGCCAAAATTCACCCAACTTATTGTGGGAAGCTTGTGAAAGGCTACCCGAAACGTTTAACCCAAGTTAAACAATTTAAAGGCAATGCTACCAAATATTAATTGAGTGTATGTAAACTTCTGACCTACTGGGAAAGTGATTAAATAAATAAAAGCTGAAGTAAATCATTCTCTCTACTATTATTCTGACATTTCACATTCTTAAAATAAAGTGGTGATCCTAACTGACCTAAGACATGGAATTTTTACTAGGATTAAATGTCAGGAATTGTGAAAAACTGATTTGAAATGTATTTGGCTAAGGTGTATGTAATCTTCCGACTTCAATTGTATATATTATGTATGATAATTGCGTTGTTTGATCTATAACCTTTCAGTTCATATTCCAACGTGATATATAAGGCAGAGAAAACAAGAAGGCAACAGTCACACAGTGGCAGAATAAATTCAATCATACATTAGTTTCATTACAAAATTGTAGAGCAACATCTGTCCGGTGAAGTCCACAAAGCATATTGCATGTAACAAACAGTTAGATGACCTACAGCATGGTCAAGCATGTTAATGTTTCCTACATGTTTGGACTACTAAACAACTATTGATTTAGGATAAAGTAATCCTACTTGTAGAGAAACGGCAATGCCTTCCTCCTCTCTTTCATGTTGCCGAAACGGTGTATGACTGTCATACAGTACACGCTTTTAGTTTTTGTTGTCCTAGGCTACTTGGCTAAAACACTTA